TGTGTGTGTGTGTGTGTGTGTGTGTGTACCTCTCCTCTTGGCTCCTGCCACCATCTCTTCATATTCCAGTTTGTGTCGCTGAGTTTCCTCCTCAGATTTGGCCGGAAGGTTCCTGAAGGAGAGAGAGAGAGAGAGAGAGAGAGAGAGTCCAATGTTTAAACGTTTAAACTCAAAATAATAAAATGAGACCATCATCAGTCACATGTCCTCAGACTGAACCGCTGAGAGACAAAGATTGAATCGTCGTCAGACTCACGCTGGTCGATCCTCCAGGATGAGAGCCGTGGTGGAGAGAGGCTCAAACTCCAGGTTCTTCCTCCTCCCTGCAGCTGGGGGGCGCTCTGGACCGGGGGACACACCTGAGTCCTTCATCTCCTCCTCTTGCTCCTCTTCCTCCTCCTCCTGTGGACACTACAGTTCACAGATACAAGTCTTTTAGTCTCTCGGAGCTTCTTACAGAGCAGCGACGACACATTGTTCTACTGAAAATCAAGAATTGAATTTTTGATAAAAGCCAAGAACTCAGGAAAAGATCAAACATCTGGATGAAATAAATCTGAACACACACGACAGTCGGATGATAATTTGCAGAAAGAATCAATGAGTCTGAACAGATCTCAATCTATGTGTGTGTGTGTGTGTGTGTGTGTGTGTGTGTGTGTGTGTGTGTGTGTGTGTGTGTGTGTTCTCTGGGACAGAACAGCTGCGGGTCAACAAGACAACAAGTCCTTTATAACCAGAGTTCTGAGCGTCACCAGCAGAGGGAGACAGAGTTCCTTCAGACTGGGGCTCTGACACGTTGGAGTGAGCGTCACGTGTGACGTCACGTGTGACATCATGTGACTGATCCACAGCTGCTTCATATAATAATAAAGTTTCACTGTATCCATGGAGATTTCATCAACATCATTGAACTGCTGCTTTTTAAAACTCTTAATGGAACAAGTGAACTTTAAATAACTCGAGCACTGACGTCTCATCCTGTAAATAAAAGAGCGTCATCACAGCAGCCAGAGAACAAAGAGCTTCGGACTGTGACGACTTCCTGTTCCTCGTTAACGCCAACGCTGTGAAACATCATGGGAGGTTCTGCTCCTTCACTTCAAGGCACCAGCCAATCAAATCAGGTTTATAATTATCAACAGGTCCGGCTGACATTAAAATAGAGCGGACACATATTGATTATTGATTAATAAACCTGTTCTCCATGATCAGATATTATTCCTCCTCCTCCTCCTCCTCCTCCTCCTCCTCTGTTGTGTATCTGATGTGTCAACCAGCTGAAGACAAACCACATCTGGTTCCCTCCTTTCCCCGATGAATCATCAGAATCTGGCAGATGTGAGCGGAGTGAGCGCGGAGGCTGGCGGCTGTCAGATGTTTTTACTGTCCTCCGAAAGGTCAGAGGTCACAACAACAGCAGAGATTTGGCATCTTGCTCGAGGGCACTTAAGCAACGTGGGAATGAGCCGCTAACGGGTGAGACGACGGTGACACAGCTGCTGCCGGACACGTTTCATTGACGTGAGAATCGAACGTAGTTTAAATTCAGCCAGAACACGTGTGTGTGTGTGTGTGTGTGTGTGTGTGTGTGTGTGTGAGGAAATATTTAGATTTATTTCTATTTCATAAAGTTTCTTAAAACAAGTCATTTATCAACACAGGTTCAAGGGGCGGAGCTGAGAATCAACAAGATGAGGTGGAGGCGTGTGTTTAAAGAACCAACCTGCTGATTGGACACTGAGGGGTTCGGGTCTTTAGTTGGGTCAGCCTCTCTGGCTCCTGTCTTGCCGAACAGTCGCCATCCTGTTGCATTATGGGTCGGTGCCTTTGGCTCTTTGGATTTCCTAGAAAATAGGCTCCTGAAAGGGAAATGAGAAGAAAGACTCTGACGAGGAGCTCAAACGGAAGTGTGTGAAAATGTTTCTGTGATTCTCTGGACAAAAAAACAAAGCTGTAAAACTGTTTCCATGGTTCACGATAAACAAACGCAGAGCTTCGTGATAACAGCTGTTTTCCTCTCAGGGTAAAGTCGCTGATGTCAGATGCTGCAGATAAAATATTTCAGTTCCTCAAACAAACGCTTGGATACGTCATGAGGTAAATTCATCCTCATCATCATTCTGACCACAATCCTGCAACTGCAGCAGATTCTGAAGACGATAATGACGGAGGGAAAAAAAAGAAGCTGCCAGGCCGACAGTCTGAGGAGGAGGAGGAGAAAGAGGGAAGGAGGGAGAGGAGCAGGAGGAAGTAGGAAAAGGAAGTGTGAAGAACGACACAAACAAACACACACACACACACACGCACACACACACACACACACCTTCTTCTCATCCCTGGAACAGTTTGATGAAAGCGACACAAAGTGAAGCTCGTGTTTTATTTCTCTGACCTGTCGTCTCTTCATCGTTGTATTTATCTGTTTGCAGAAGATGAAGCTGTGGAGCTGAAACCTCAGAGGGTTCAGATTTTTATTTCACCTCTTTCTTTCTTTTTTTAACCTCAGTTTCCACAGTAAAGTAGAATAAAGCAGAGTGAGAGAGCAGCTGTGGTGAGACCAGACCACAGCGACGAAACCGAAAACTACTTCCTCTTTTTATTTCTGGTTTGTAGTTTCACTCGCTGCACGAGTGAGACAGAAGATAAACATGAAGCTGATGTGAAGGGTTCAGTTCTCACATCACAGCGAGGATGACGACTGTAAACACTCAAAGTGAATTTCATCCTGTAGGTGGTGGACATGCAGCGTTTCTTCCCTCGACCGATGAAACCAGCCGCTGACCTTTGTTTTGTTTCCAAAAACAAAACTCATTCTTATTGTTTACTTTCAAACTGTTTGTCTTCAGCTGATTAGAAATAAGTTGGGTTGGTTCTCTGAACCATGAAAAGGTCAAAGATGTTAACACAACACAAGCAGGCGTCTGTCAGAGGCAACTGTCTTCAGGCAGCGATCATATAAATAAAGAAACATTCCTGCTTCTACGATCCTCCCCGTCCTGCCCTCAGCCACGCTGTGCAGCAAACAGCCAGCGTGGACATTTTCCAGCGCTGCTCCGTCTGTCTGGATTTCCTCTGAGACGCCGGGACGCTTCAGCCAGCTGTCGAGGCCCGAGTCCAAAACCAGGCTCACACTGACGGAGATTTAGCAAACACAGATTTTCCTCCACCTGCCAGTCAGACAGGATTTTCTCTACAGACACACAGAGATCTGCCCCTCAGGCTGTGAACTGCTCTCTGCACTGAAGTCTTAAATATTTCCATGTTTTCACTTTACTTAAGCAGTTTACCTCCTCAGGAATTTAGTCAGGGACATTCTCCCAGATACTGAAGCCTGTGACGACATTTTCTTTCCTTCAGCTGTACAACCTGCAGCAGGACACAGTCACGAGCCTCAAAGTCAGAGTGAGTTACAAACAAAATCCTGTTGATATTCAGTCTGACATAATGTTTGTGTCTAATCATTGAACCTCATCTAAATAAACAGACGCTCTGTCACCGCTCTGCTCTCCTCGACGACCCTGAGCTCATCTAAGATGTTTTCAGAAGGAACCACAGATGTTCTCCAGAGAGCATCCAGAGGTTCTGTCTGTGAGGACAAACGTCTGAGTCAGTGTCTCTGGACATGTTCTGGATCTTCTCCTGCAGCCTCTAGTAAAACATCTGTAAAATATCAGAGTGAGTCCATGAGAGAAAACATCTGGAACCTTCTCAGTGAGCGAGTGGGCGTGTCTCTGAGGTTTCTAACACGTGACGGACGTGACACTGAAGAACACAAATGTCTCAGGATGAAGAAGAGGAGCCGTACACGTAGAAGACGAAGACGAGGGTTTTCTGTCATGGAGTTGTTTAATATTTAGGTTTAATTTAAAAACTGTTTAATAATCAAAGTGTAAATCTGTGGTTAAACTGAGAGAATGTTGACTCGTGCGTCTGAGAGCTGCTGAAACATCTCCTCAGGGACAGAGAACCTGCCGGGCTGTGCGGAGGCTCAACAACGTGACGATGGTCGGCCTCAGGCAGAGAAAGCAGAGGGAGCGGTGAATGTGAGCGACGCCCTGAGGACAGAGGCTGCACAGAGTGGAGGCTCATCTCGTCCGGACTATCACTGACGACTCAACTAGGGCGTGATTAACATGTGAGCTGTCACACGGGCTCCACGCTGGAGCTGTGAGATCCTATGAGAGGACGAGTGGCCAGGATCACGTCCTTAGTGCCATTAATGTAAAACACATCTCTGTCCTCAGACTGTCCATCGCTGCAGCTCCTCTTTTCAGCCTCTGTCTCAAACACTCAATTTGTGCTCTGATTGGTCAGCTGGTCCACTCTGCTGTGATTGGTCCACTGCTAACGGTGCTTCGTTAGGGGATCGTTAGAGACGTCACCTGCTGTGTGAATGTGGGTCAGTGTGTAAGTGTCCGTCAAGAATTAAACTGAGGACGTCCACGTCTCATGAGAACGAGACACAAAGTGTCTTATGTTGACTGGGTGAAGCTCTGAATGTGTGTGTGTGTGTGTGTGTGTGTGTG